TAATCTTCGGGCAGTTGTAGAGATAAAAAATAAAGTAAACACAACATACAGAGTAATTGGTTTTGTGATGTAGGAACTTAGAAGTAGCATCACAAAAATACATCTATAGGTCTTGAGGTGTAGACAAGCTAAGGAGCAGCTACTTTTGTTTGCGTAGCTGGCAGGGATTACGTGGCCATAGAGTCCAGGTGGGGTCAGCCAGGGAAAAGCCCTCCACAGACTCCCCTAACGTGTGGAGAAGTGGGATTCCCGGTTACTTGTGCTTTAGGAGTAACATTCCTGGTACTCAAAAAGCCTTCGGTGGTAGCGCTGTGAGTTCTGCATGTGCCATCAGTACTTCCTGTTCCTGAGTTCCTGAGCCTTGTTTGAGCTGACTGTGGAGCCACCCGGATCATGCTGCCTACCGTCTGCCCAGAGACTCAGCTCAAAGAGCGTCTTTTCTTGAGCTCTTTCATTCCTTATATGTGAAAGCTACTATATAATCCTGCATATTGTTATTATTTTTTTTCAGGACAGGGTTTCTTTGTGTAGTGCCAGTTATCCTGGGAGCCCCTCTGTAGTACAAGCTGGCCTCGAACTCTGAGATCCACCTGCTTCTTCCTCCTGAGCACTGGGACTAAAGGTGTGCGCCACCACTGCTCAGCAATCCTGCACATCGTATGTGGTTTGGGAAGTACACTTCTTGGATGTTTGTGTCTTACCTAAGTGCTTAAGTCTTGATGTAGTTTAAGACTTGCGTATCTTCATTTACGGAGCTACCACATAGTGTGTTACCCACGGAAAGTGGTGAAGAAATAAGGCCACAAGCTTAGTAATAAGACACACATGTATCATTTGCTGTAAAAAACAAATGGCAGTTCTCATTGACATTTGGTAATTTCAAATTGTAGAAACATGGAAATAATGATTGTATAGTAACTTCTGCCAGAGAAAGACATTTTTGTCTATTTTTCTACTGTGCTTGTAGGCATTTGTGGAATAGATGAATTTGATAAAATGGGGAACCAGCATCAAGCCTTGTTAGAAGCCATGGAACAGCAGAGTATTAGCCTTGCTAAGGCTGGTGTAGTTTGCAGCCTCCCTGCAAGAACTTCCATTATTGCTGCTGCAAATCCAGTTGGAGGACACTACAATAAAGCCAAAACAGTTTCTGAGAATTTAAAGTAAGTCTCTTCAAATCTGTATTCTATGATTCAGTAAGGAAAAGATAATTGAGTGTATGAATGGATAGTCCCATTCATGTGTATGAATGGTTAGTCTCCAGTGTATGTACAGAAATGGGCTTAAATCTTGAAAAAACAGTGCCAGTGACAGCATGTAGCTTAGTGGCTTTGGTGTGTGAGAACGACCACACCCACAGCTACCAGGCATAGAGTACATACAGCAGCTGTCCTGCATGTGGTGAAGAGCTGGAACATGTAGCTGTACTGAACGCTTATTTCTTTAACCTAAAGCTTGGTTTTAGAAGTTCTGCAGGGGAGAACTGGTAAACAAATAAACAGCTGTTTAGGTTTTCTGTTTTGATTCCAAACATCGCTTCTTCTTTCTTTCCTGCTCCTAGGATGGGGAGTGCCCTGCTGTCCAGATTCGATTTGGTCTTTATCTTGTTAGATACGCCAAATGAACAGCATGACCACTTACTCTCTGAACATGTGATTGCAATAAGAGCTGGGAAGCAGAGTGCAGTTAGCAGTGCCACAGTAGCTCGTGCGCTCAGTCAAGATTCAAACACTTCTGTACTTGAAGTGGTTTCTGAGAAACCGTTATCAGAAAGACTGAAGGTATACATGTTCCTTAATCCCTGAGTTTCAGCTACTTACATGTGCAAGTTCAGTGTGTGATGGGGACTGCAAGTATGTCATAGTGGTATAATGAGCTTAGCATGCACAGGGCTCTGGATGTAAACCTCAGCACTCCCTCCCAATAGGATTCGCCTTCCTCCCCATCCCTAGACGTTTATATGGTACTTTGGAATCATCTAAGGTAGTAGATTTCAGCCTGTGGGCCACAACTCCTTTGGGGGTTGCATATCAGATATTTACATTACAGTTTATAACATTAGCAAAATTAGTTATGAAGTAGCATCAAAATAAATTGATGGTTGGGGTGGGTCACAACAACATGAGGAACTGTATTAAAAGGTTGCAGCATTAGGAGGGTTAAGAACTGTTGATCTAAGGTGATTGGAACTATAACCATAGTATTTGGCTTATTTGGAAAGGCTTTGGAACTTTTTACTTACTTAAACAAGCTAGTATTTGTTATCCATTTTTTTCAACCTCTCAACCTCTCAGGTGGCTCCTGGAGAAAAGATAGATCCGATTCCACACCAGCTGTTGAGGAAGTATGTCGGTTATGCGCGGCAGTATGTCCACCCAAGGATAGCCACAGAAGCTGCTCAGGTGCTTCAGGACTTCTACCTGGAGCTTCGCAAACAGAGCCAGCGCACGGGCAGCTCGCCCATCACCACCCGGCAGCTGGAGTCTTTGATCCGTCTGACAGAGGTTTGCATTCCTTACACTCATGCTGCTGTGGCTGGAGGAAGAGAGGAGCCTAGCCTGGTAACACAAGCCTGTAAGCTCAGGTACTCGATGCTGAGGCAGGAAAATTGCAAATTGAAGGCCTGCCTGGACTTCAGAGTGAGAGTCCAAGGCCAGACTAGCTACTTTGTATGAGACCTGTCTCAAAGTAAAAAGCAACAGAGTTTCAGTGTTCTTCAGTGCTTGCTCAGCATGTGCAAGGCTCTAGGTTCAGACTCCAGTACTGTAAGAGAGGGTGCATGGGTGTGTGTGTGGGGGGGCGCACTTGTATGTATTACACTGTGATTTCTCCTTTAATCAGTTTTACTGTCCTCTAGCAGACATTAAAAATGGGTGAATAAAAGGTTTTTTGGAGGATTTAGTCACTTTTGTAATATATTAAAGGTACAGATTTTTTTCTAGGCATAGGACCAGTTGTGCCAAGCAATAGTTTTTTTAATGACACTGTACTTTCCTGAAGTGTCTGAAAAGTGGTTAGGTTACCTAGAATCCTTGGCATATGGGAATGTGGACTATGTCGAGTGTCTTGCCTGTGACTTGACAGGCGGAGGCAGCCTTTCTCAGAACAGTACTGTTTGTCACACTGCCTATGCTCCAAGTACTGCTGCAGTTAAAGTTAGCTCTGCTGGACGTTAAGGTTCTTTTGATCCTAAAATGATTGATTCCTCTGTTACTTTACTTCAAATAATCTGATTTCCTGAAAGTAAAAGGCAAGGAAAAAACACATTTTCATAGCCAAATCTTCTGATTGAACACTCAGAAAACATATTAGTAGGTAAAAGTCAATTTCAGCTGTGCAGCTATTTGTGCACTTTTCTGATTTTTAAAACCTTTTTCTCTTCTTCAAGAATTGCATCACGTATGCAGTGTATTTTAATCATATTCACGCCCCAGCCCTCCTTATGCAATGACTAAGTTTAAATACAAGCACTGGCACACATGGTGAAAGTATTTATTTATCTTTTATCTTAAAATCATTGTTTTCTTTTTTTTTCTTTTTTTTTATTTTTAGTTACAATTTGTTAACTCTGTGTCCCAGCTGTATCCCGCTCCCTCATTCCCTCCCCCTCCCCAACTCCCTCCCTGGTCTCCTCCCTGCTCCTTTCCAAGTCCCCTGATAGGGGAGGACCTCCATTTGACCCTGTTTTATCAGGTATCTTCAAGGCTGGCTGCAAAGTCCTCCTCTGTGGCCTAACAGGACTGCTCCTCCCCTGGGGGGGGGGGGGGGACAAAGAGCCTGCCCTTGAGATCCTGTTAGAAATAGTCCTTGTTCCCCTTGCTTTGGAAAGCTACTTGGTTACTGAGCTACCACGGGCCACTTCCCAGCAGAAGTTCTAGGTTATATCCATAGATGGTCCTTGGTTGAGTGTCAGTCTCAGAAAAGGCCCTGTCATTGTTTTCTTTTGTAGGCACGGGCAAGGTTAGAATTGAGAGAGGAAGCAACTAAAGAAGATGCTGAAGATATCATTGAAATTATGAAACATAGGTAAGATTAGCACTTCAGTATTTTGCATGAGGGCAACGTCTGGAAGTCAGGTCTTTCCCTCCTCTGCATGGGTCCCAGGGATTGAACTAGTGTCAAACTTGGCAACGCCTGTACCTGCTCAGTCACCCTCCTGGCCCCTTAATTGTGGTAGTATTCTGTTTTTTTCCTTTCTCTTTTTTTTTCTCATCGCCCTCCCCCATCTTCCTCCCCTCCCCCTTGTCCTTTCTCTCTATCTCCTTTCTTCTTTCCGTCCTTCCTTTTGGTGTTTTTATGTCTTCAAAGGTAGGTTGTATAGATCCTGAGTTTGCTTCATGTCAATCAGGGTGCTTTGCCAGTTCCTCTCTGACCCTGAATAGCAGTTCTATATAGTTGAAGAACAAGACTTCTACAGTCCAACTTGAGGCTGCCATGGCAAGTTACACCAGAGGCCACAAGGGGCTCAGTGCAGAAAAAGTACTTGGCGTACAAATCGGATGATTTGATTCCTGCAACAGTATAAATGTGGAAGGAACCAGCTCCACAAGTCGCCCTCTGACTTCCACGCTTGTGTGTGGCATGTGTATACACAGTAATGGTGGGCCAGTGCTAGTGCGCACTGTCTTCTGTGCCACATTTACCCGTGTGGAGACGAGACTGCAGAGATCTCTTTCTCTGACTCATACCGTAAACTGAAGTACAAAGAAGTTTTAGGGTCCCGCACTCGGTGCTGTCCTTCTCATTGGTCGGGAGCATGGAGCTGATGATCATTTTCTCCCTTCCCCAGTCGGAGACTCACCTCGATGTGCTTAGGATAGTTCTGGCCCATCCCTGGCTCCTTCCCTCTGCTTTTGGGTAGAAGGGCACCCTGCTGTCCCCTAAGGCTGGAGCAACGATCTGCAGCTTGTTTCCTGCTTCTATAGGCAGTCTGTGGAAGGAGAACTTCTCTAATTGTTGTGTCAGCAACAAGGGGAGAGAATAGTTGGATTCTCAGTGGTTAGAGTCACCTAGCATGATGAGAGATGGGGAGCTGGCTAAACACATCAGGCTCAGATCTCTTCGACTAACCATACTTCCCTAGGCTGTGAGAACAAGGACCTCATCTCACCACCGCTTTTCCAGAGCCCGGAATCCTGGCTGGCACGCGGTATTAAATGTCCTTCATTAATTCTAATGTACACTCTAAAAAAGTTTGCCCTTTCCAGTCCCTACTGCTTCTGTTTCATTGAAACCACCACTAATGTGGTGTTACACCTGTAAAATTGCACTCTGAAGTGGGAAGCAGAAGCCTGAGCAAGAAAAACCTCAACCCTGACATAGCTCATCTGAATTAGCATGTACATACTTGCACATTTTTTGAAAAGTAAACGTTTTTATTTAGTAAGCAGTTTATGTGAGTATTCTTACAAACTTGAAAATATTATAGAAAGAAGAATAGAGCCACCTGCTGAGATTAGGTTGCCCCTCCACTTGCGCTCCTCCACTTCAGGCAAGTAGGTCATATGGCTCAAATACCTGTTTTTCAAATGGAAACAAGGTAGCATGATTAAAATCCCAGGTGTCACTCATTGAAAATGTAACATTTGGAAGTCATTCTTCATCCTTACGTGCCAAAGCTGTCCTCATCTGTAACAGGGAATAATTATAATTCCCCAGGCACGAGGTTTCTGGAGGATGCCTGTGGTAAGCAAGTGTAATTACTCTCTGTCAGTAACTCAAAGCATTTCTGGTAATAAAGGGACATCAATTTATTTCACAGTGCAGGTGGATTAAGCCTGAAGGTAGCATCAGGGTAGACCTCACTGTCAGGTGCTCCTGTGCACAGTTTGTGCACAGTTCTGTCTGTACAGTTTCTTATCAACTCAAGGGACAGATCCTACCTGTCAAGATCATTCCAAAGGACTCCTTAAGAACAGTGATTACATTTGTTTTGTTCACTACCCTGCTCTAACTGGTTACCAATACATATTTGATAATTTCTGAGTAAAAAAATTGGGATTTTATGTCCCATTGTACAGGTGGGAATCAGCAGTAGAGCTGGATTACAGGTTAATTCCATCTGTGATGGGTGTTTGCAGGCTCCAGTCCAAACTGTCAAATGCTTATTTCCCTTTTTTGGTGAGTCTGTAAAAATGAGACAGAAGAAAAGTATGGTTAGTGTCACTACTGTCAGTCAGCACAAACTGAGTTTATTTCTAGAATATTTGTTTCTAAGATTTTTGGCATGGGTGGTTTTCCTGTCCATATCTCTGTGTACCACATGCACAGTGCCCTCAAGAGGGCAGAGTAGAGAATGGAATCCTGTTGTTGAGTATTAATATTTAGTGTTGATTTATCTTTTAGTTAAACAGTTATTCCTAAACCAGCTGTATACCCAAATTACCACACAGAGACTAGGATTGGTTTAATTAACTAGAGCACAATGCTGGGCAATAGTTACTCCATCCTAAACCTCCAGGCCCACATAGTTTCCTTCCATTCCAATTTTCCACGTTATACTTGCTTTTAGACATATCTTAGGGTCCGGTTTATCTCTCCTCTTGGTTCCAAGTCCTCTACTGCTCATCTCTCCTCTATGACTCCTCCCACTCGCTTCTTTCTCCTCCCCTCCAGACCAGGATGTCCCACCCTATTCTCTCCATTGCTCAGCATTGGCTGGTTGTTTTATTGACAATACAGAAAACAAATGGTGGCATTTTTGTACAAACTTGAGACAGGTCCAGATTGAAACCAGATAGTGGGGGAGAGAAATCAACCTGTCAAGGAACAAGGATAAGGCGTATACATTCCACAAGAACATTATACCAACAGAATCACATGGAATTACAGGTGCTAATAAGCTGCTATGTGAGTGCTTTAAAACCCTGGTCCCCTGCAAGAGCAGCGTGTGATCCTAGCCACGTTCTCCAGCCCTTCAGTACTTTGAAACATCTTTTCTTTGTGGATGCTGTGGTAGGAAATAACACACCTTTACCTAGGAAAGCCTAAAATACCATGTTGGGAAATTTTAGTTTTATAAATCAGAAAGAATGACTTTGCTGTTTGTTTGTTTGTACAGCAGTCTGCCTGCATGTGTGCCTGCAAGCTAGAAGAGGGCACCAGATCTCATTATAGATGGTTGTAAGCCACCATGTGGTTGCTGGGAATTGAACTCGGGACCCTTAGAAGAACTTCCAGTGTTCTTAACCTCTGAGCCATCTCTCCAGCCCTGACTTTAGTGTTTATAATACTGGTTTTTAACTGTACATTTTTACATTTCATGTTTATAATTTTGTTTTGGTATTTTGAGATAGACTGTCCCTCCATAGCCCTGACCAGCCTTGGTATATGTTAAAGTATTTCAGGCTGTCTTTAAACTCAAGGAAGATCTTATGCCTTAGTTTCTGAGGGCTGGGATTGCAGGCATGTACTGCCACAAATTTTGTTTTTGTTTTAAACAATAATTGTGTTCAAAATATTTTTATGTCAATCTATATTATAATGAGTTTCAGAATAGCTAAATAAGTCTCACAGCCACTCCCAAACATCGATTATGACTTGGAAGCCCAGCCTAAAAATTTCTGTAGCCATATCACATGAAATAATCCTTTCTTCTCCATCTTTAAGCATGCTAGGAACTTACTCAGATGAATTTGGGAACCTGGACTTTGAACGATCCCAGCACGGCTCTGGAATGAGCAACCGGTCAACAGCAAAAAGATTCATATCTGCTCTCAACAGCATTGCTGAAAGAACTTACAATAATATATTTCAATTTCATCAACTTCGTCAGATTGCCAAAGAACTAAACATTCAGGTATGATAACGTAAATACTTAACAGGTCATATTTTGTATCAGAGGGTTTTCATTAATAGAACAAAACCACTTATTTTGTTTGTTTATTTTTCTAGCTGGTTTCTTGTGCAGCCCTGGCTGTCCTGGAATTTTGCAGACCAGGCTAGCCTTGAACTCCGAGTTCCACCTGTCTCTACCTCTGCCTCCTGAGTGCCAGGAGTAAAGGGCGAGCACAACCATGTCCATGAGTCCATCACTTTATAATTTTAAGATTGTTAACTCTTCTCAAAGGTGTTGGGGGGATTTTGTTTGTTTGTTTGTTTGTTTGTTTGTTTGTTGAGCAACTCTTGGGCTCTGACTATTCTGGACTGTCCTGTGGCTAGTCAAGATGACTATGATTTTTCATTTGTTGAATAGATGTAATCCCACCTGCTGCTCCTACTTTGGAGTTCTGGTGGAAACTTGTAATTGAACTTTAAACGTCAGAAGTAGTTTAGATGTGAGACTGCAACTTCGAAAGCCAGTCTAGGGAGGAGGGAGGGGCTTATGGGGGGATACAAAATGAATAAAGTGTAATTAATAAAAGTTAAATAAAAAAATTAAAAAAAAAAAGCCAGTCTAAGTTGGGTCTTTAGCTAAAACAAAGGATTCTTTGTTTATTGGACTGCTGTAGGAAGCATATGCTATTTTACTTGGCAGGGAAACTTGTTAGGTATATGTCTGTTTAGATATTGATGTAAAAGTCATATTTGGCATATTACTGACTGACTCTTACTGCTTGCTTTTAGGTTGCTGATTTTGAAAACTTCATTGGATCACTGAATGACCAGGGTTACCTCTTGAAAAAAGGACCAAAGATTTACCAGCTTCAAACTACATAACAGACTTTACCAAGTCAGGTTCTCCTGTGGTTTAAAATCATCTTAACTATAACAACCGAAAATAAGAGTTCTGAAAATGATACAACTTCTATAACAGAAAAAAAATATACTTATAATTTATCCAGAAGGCTAAAAATAGTTTCCATTATTTTATCTAAATAACATAAACAATATTTATACTTTTGACTTGTCATATTTTTATTTGTATTTCTTAAGTTTTATATCTCAGATGTCTAGCAGACGTTCAGATAATACATAAACAAATGACTGTGTGTTCTGGTGAAACTATTCCAAACATTAAAGTTTGAATTTCATAAAATCTTTAGGTCACAAAAACTACTCATTCTTTTCAACTTTATGGTTATGGGCAGTGGGTCTGACTTGGCTTCTCATTTGAAAGTAGTAGAAATTTACTAACTTAAGTAGAAGTCCTATCTGAAAAATAGCTTACAGAATTACATAAAGGCTGATGAGTAGTTTGTAAAATAAAACTAGCCTACTACTGTGCATTTAAGGTGTTCTTGCCCCTGTGCCTCACCGATGCCGTTCCTGAGCCTGAACCCGCCCTGCAGAAGGTGAAGGAACACCTCACCTGCACCGCAGCAGTAGGCAGAAGCAGTCTTCATTAGGCCCCCTCGAGTTGCTGAGTTCAAAAGAGGAAGCACATTCAGAAGCATTGGTTTGGAAAAGATGGCGTACACGCTAGGGAATTCCCTGCAGTCTGCTTCAAGGAGACAGGGCCGGTGAGATCAGAATTCACCATGTTCTGGGAGAGGCTTCATACGGAATTGGACCTCTAGCCAGAGCACCCTTCAAACAGATAGCTAACAAACACGCTAGCATGTATAAGCACTCATGTAGTGATAGCCACTGATTGACAATTAGTTTCCAGGAAACCTGAGGGATGAAAAATGTATAAAACAAAACATACTCAAAAACTGAGTTGGGGAGGTGGCTTAGTTGGTAAAGCTTGAGGACCTACATTCAGATCCTCTTATAAAAAGCCAAGTGTGGTTCATTTGCAACCCTAACACTGGGTGAGTGTGGGAGAGAGGCAGTTAGTTTCCTGATGCTCACTGGCCAGCCTGGACTCGTGAGCCAGTTCATAGATCTAGTCTCAGAAAAATAGACTGAAGTCATTCAGCATCAACCTCTGCTCCCGACACCTACGTATACATACAGAAAGGGTGGTGAACATTGAGTAACCAAAAAAAAAAAAAAAAAAAAATCAGTATTTTATAATAAATATTTAACCAATAAATACACCCAGAATGAAAATGAAATGAGGGATAATATGCCAAAGAATACCATAGAAATATTAAAGCCCGACTTGAAGGAAGTGAATGCTAGATGTTCATATATATATGATCAAAGTTGGTTGCTTAGATTTAGCTGTAGGCAGCTGCATCCGTTGAGCCATCTCATCAGTAGGTAATGTTTACCTTTTTTTAAAATTTTTTTCTTTATTAATTATACTTTATTAACTTTGTATCCCCCCTGTGGTTCTCTCCTTCCTCCAGTCCCAATCCCTCTTTTCCTCCATCCTCTGCATGCCAGCCCCTCCCCAAGTCCACTGATAGGGGAGGATTTCTTTTCCTTCCTTCTGATCCTAGTCAATTAGGTCTCATCAGGAGTGGCTGCGTTGTCTTCTGTGGCCTGGTAATGCTGCTTCCCCCTAAGGGGGGGGGGGTAATTAAAGAGCAGACAAATCAGTTCATGTCAGAGACAGTCCCTGTTCCTATTACAATGGAACCCACTTGGATACTGAACTGCCATGGGCTACATCTGTGCAGAGGTCTTAGGTTATCTCCATGCATAGTCCTTGGTTGGAATATCAGTCTCAGGAAAGACCCCTGTGCTCAGATTTTTTGGTTCTGTTGCTCTCCTTGTGGAGTTCCTGTCTTCTCCAGATCTTAATTGTTTTTTTTTTTTTTTTTTTTTTTTTTTTTTTTTTTTTTTTTTTT